CACGCAGGCTACAGTGCAGTGGCATCAGCCTAGCTCACAGCAACCTCAAACTCCTGGGCTCAAGTGATCCTCCTGCCTCAGCCTCCTAAATAGCTGGGACTACAGGCGCACACCACCACGCCAGGCTAATTTTTCTATTTTTAGTAGAAGTACGGTCTCCCTGTTGCTCAGGCTGGTCTCCAACTCCTGACCTCAAGAGATCCTCCCACCTCGGCCTCCCAGAGTGCTAGGATTACAGGCGTGAGCCACTGCGCCCAGGCTTCTTGGGGGACATCTTGCGTGTGCTGTGTTTAAGAACCACAGCAGGAAAATTTAAATGTAGCTAAAACTGCCTGGTTGTTGGAAGTGCCACCACAGGAAAAGGACATCATGGCCCCCTGAAATTGCTGATCTACGCAGCCAGCAATGCTTAGGACAATAATAGAGTCCTCCCAAGAGAGTCACCGTCGCTCTACCCTGGCTACACGTCTCAATCGCACAGTTGCTTTGTGTAACATCCCAACATCCAGACGGAGTCTCTGAGGGTGGGGGCCTGGCCCTGCCAGTTTAAAAAGCCTTCCAGGAGATTCTAATGCACAAATGAACTGGGAACTACTGGTGCGGCTGATTACGAACCCCGGGTATAGAGGTCACCTGTCTAGGCCCAAACCTTTCTCCCCACTTCATAGCTCTGTGACCCCGGCAAGATCTTTCATTTCTCTGTGCCTCAGTTTCCTCGTCGATAAAGTGAGTGTAATAATAGTAACTGCCTGTCAGTGTGCTGTGAATAGTAAATTAGACGACGATTGCGAAGTGTTCAGCACACACCTGCACATCACTCGCGCTCACCATCATCACGCTCCGGGGCCTTGGGATGGCGCTGACTTTGCAGGACTCTGTCCGGTCATCCAGAATTCCTTTCGGGCCATCCTAGAGCCCGGCTCGCCTGACTCGGCGCTCCCTCCCTCCTTGCGGGGCTGCTGGCAGCTGCAGGAGGCCACAGCGTTGGGCAACCTCCTGCCAAAGCCCTGCAGTTACTTATTCCTAATTCCGAATAAAGCATGAGTCAGGGCCCAGAGCTGTAAATCCCCAGAAGAAAGACAGGTCTTGGCATCATGTTTGGGCAGGAGCCTCCTCCTGGGGCAGCGCCACGCAGCCGAGACCAGCAGGGCATGATCTGAGTTGCCAGAACAGCCCTCCTGTCCCCTAGCTCCCAAATCTGACCTCTGGGTCTCGAAGGGTCTTTGTCCTCTATTACAACGCGAGGGTTAGAAGTGTCCTACACGGCAGAGGGCCTGGGGGCTGTTACGTAACTATAGGTACTTACTATGTGCCACCCACTGTGCTACTAAGCACTTCTCACGAGTTACCTTACTTATCCTCATGCAAGCTCTACAAGGCAGGCAGTTATTATGCCCATTTTACAGAGGGGGAAATTGAGACTTACAGAGTTAAGTGCACATCTAGGAAGCACCAGTTCAGCATCTGATGGTCCGAATCTGAGAGGTTCCAGGCAGCCAGCTGGGAGGAGGAAGGGCCAGTGGGTATCTTCCCTTATCCTCGGGCCTGGTCCAGGCTGTGCTGGAGGAACCACGGTGGGATCGGGGTGGGGAGGGAGTTCCCCCAGGAGAACACAGGCATCATCCTAGTCTCCTCGGAGTTTCCAGGCCTGAAAACAGGCCATGGAAGGGACCAGGCAGCGTAGCGCAGGCAGCTGTCTGGGAAGGCAGTGGCCAGTGGAGGTGACCCTTGTCCCCAGGCTTGACAGGGGCAGCTCCCAGTGCTTTTAGGAGCCATCCAGCCAGCCAGGCTGCACCCATGGCACCCCAAGTCTCAGCCCAGTGAGTCCAGGACTGAACACCAGCCCTGGAGAGAGGGCATCTTTCTCCTGCCCATTGTGTGAAACCCGTCAAGAGGCCAGGCTGGATTTCAGAGTAGGGCCCAACTCTGGGAGGCCAGAAAGGCAGTCAGGGCCTGGTTGGCTGAGGCAGGCAGACCGGCAGCTCTCCAAAGACGTCCACGACCCAGGCCTCAGAACCTGTGAATAGGGGAGTTGGGTGGCTGATGGAACGAAGGTTGCCCATCAGCTGACCTAGAGAGGGTGGATGAGCCTGGCGTAGCCAGGTGGGCCCAATGTAACACAGGGGACTTTGTGAGCGGGAGGAGGAAACAGAAGAATCAGAGTCAGAGGAAGATTTGAAAATGCTTCGCTGCCGGCTGGCTTTGAAGTCGGAGGAAGAGGCCACCAGCGAAGGGGTGCAGGCAGCCCCTAAAACTGGAAGAGGCAAGAAACACTCTCCCCTAGAGCCCCCAGAAGGAACCGGTCCTTCTAAGACTTTGACTTTAGCTCAATGAGACCCATGTCAGACTTCTGACCTCCAGAGCTGTAAGATAACAAATTTGTGTTGTTTTAAGCCACTAAGTTTATGGTAATTTGTGACAGCAGCAACAGGAAAGTAATAAACTGTGTCCTTGGCTGTGTGGACAGGTGGATACAGTATTCAGATTGCTGGCTGTGTGGACAGGTGGCTACGGTATTCAGATTGCTGGCTGTGTGGACAGGTGGATACCGTATTCAGGTTGCTGGCTGTGTGGACAGGTGGATACAGTATTCAGATTGCTGGCTGTGTGGACAGGTAGATACCGTATTCAGATTGCTGGCTGTGTGGACAGGTGGATACGGTATTCAGATTGCTGGCTGTGTGGACAGGTGGATACGGTATTCAGATTGCTGGCTGTGTGGACAGGTGGATACGGTATTCAGATTGCTGGCTGTGTGGACAGGTGGATACGGTATTCAGAGTGCTGGCTGTGTGGACAGGTGGATTTGGTATTCAGATTGCTGGCTGCGTGGACAGGTGGATACGGTATTCAGATTGCTGGCTGCGTGGACAGGTGGATACGGTACTCAGATTGCTGGCTGCGTGGACAGGTGGATACGGTACTCAGATTGCTGGCTGCGTGGACAGGTGGATACCGTATTCAGATTGCTGGCTGTGTGGACAGGTGGATACCGTATTCAGATTGCTGGCTGTGTGGACAGGTGGATACCGTATTCAGATTGCTGGCTGTGTGGACAGGTGGATACGGTATTTGGATTGCTGGCTGTGTGGACAGGTGGATACCATAGTCAGATTTCTTTGGCTTCTCCTCTGCAGTGGGCTTAGGTTTCTTGCTCCCAGGTTGTGCCAACCACAGCAACTTGGGGCACAGGGGCAAACTTGAGAGGAAAGACGTTTCCAGAGCTTTCTGCTGAGTCCGCCCAGAGCCCCGTGGCAGGTCTGAGGGCAGCAGGGCTAAGAGAAGCCTGCTTAGAAACTCGCCCCTAGTCTCCCAATTTTAGGCACTTGCCTTCCAGAAAGTCACATTTCCCACCACAAACTCTTTCAAAAAATACAATTTTCTCAGCATCCTCATGTGTCTCAGCTTCTGCTGATGGGAGCAGTGGGTGGGGGGAGGGGCTTATTTTGTCAAACTGGGCATTGAGGGGGCACTGGGAGCCTGTTCAGAGAATCTAGGTAAACTGAGGCAAGGAGGAAGTGTTGGGAAAACTTATAACCCCTTCTCTAACCACCCGGATGCAGCCCAGCCCTGGGACCAGCCGGGATGTGTCTGTGTTTTGCACTTTGGGAGAAAATAAGGGGTTGGCAGGGGAAGGCAGAGGGGCAGTGCCCTGGTGCTCTGCGGAAGGCCACCTGCAGCCTCTCGTGGGTGGGAAAGGGGACTCTACATGCCCCCCTTGCCCACTTCCCAGTGCAGCCTCCAGCCACAGCCGGGCCCCTGACCCTGCCATGCTGGCTGTCCTCGCAGCCTGGCTTGCTTTATGCATCCATATCGTCACGACTGTCCGTGGCAGCCCTAACTCGTCCTGGGCCAAGACGAAGCAAACTCAGTTTTACCAAATTCTTGAGGGGGCCAAGCAAACACATGCTGTTTGGAAACTTCTCTCTCTTTGCTATCTGGTTCTAAGCCCAAAGAAGGACCAAAATGAGACCAAAGCCATCTGTGTCTGTCAATTTATTAGCCAGCGATGGAAACACAGCTGCATCCACACAGAACACACATGTGGCTGACACGCATCTTGAGAGAATAAACCCACCCTCACCCCTCTGCACTCAGCGGTTCATTCCCAGAGTTGTCCCTGGGTGAGCTGTCTTGGTGGCTCTGGCCCCCCCAGCGCCCCCTCCTGCAGTGTGGCAGGACATGGAATCGCTGACCAGAGGTCAACAGAGGGCTTGGGACCAATTCAGCCAGGGCTCCCCTCCTGCAGAGAGAGGTCCCAGGGCCAGCAAAGCATCTCGCGGGAGGTGGGATCGCCACAGTCAACCTGTGCATTAGGAGAGAGACTCCGCCCCTTTACCCAGTCTTCCCAACATCCAGCCATCCCCCAGATGCTTTCATCTCCAGGGAATCCCGGGGGGATTCTGGATAAGGCTGGATTTCTGAGTGTCAGTTTATAAGACTAAGACACAACTATCATTCCTTCTACATGCATCTAGAAACTCCTAATATGTGACAGTGCTAGGTGCTGGGAAGGGCTCAACATCTGGTCAGGAACTTGGCAGTGGGAATGACGGCCCCACCTTCATCTAAATCGACCCCCAGCTCCTTCCCTATGGGGGAAGCTTTGGACAGAATCTCTCCTGTCCCGTGTGGAGTGGTCTCACTCTAGAATTGCTCCCCTGCAGAGCGGGAGGCGGTCAGACCAAAGCAGAATCATGGGTCCTTCCTCTGCTTCTAGGCTGCAGTGTGAATCTGCCCCCAGATGGAGGATTTGGGGGTGGGGAGGGGGATGTTTGAGGAAGACCCCATGGGTGATGTTGATTCACATGAGAGGCCACAAGAAATGAGGTCCTTCTTTTTGGGAGGCCAAGAGGATTCAAGTCTGAGAACCAAATGGGTTGCAGGGGAGGTGTGGACACTTCCAGGGAAAAGGCTTCTGAGAGGGGAGGTCACCCTCGGCGTTCCATCTGGAACCTTGGGGTCTCTTGATGCTTATTATCCAGGGGCTGTCTCAGTCTCCATCACCCAGGCCAATGCCCATCCCCGGGGGAGGATGGCAGGTGGGCGTCGGCTCAGGGCACCATGTGCCACCACTTGAAGGAGAAGGGCTGCCGGCGCACGTTGGTGCCGCAGTGCACCTCCCCGTGCAGCATGTGGTACGGAGTGAAGTCGTCGATGAAGGTGCAGCGCAGGCCTAGCGGCTCCAGCAGGGACCGCACCTTCTCCTCCAGGCAGCAGCGGCCGTTGACGATGGGCCCGAAGGGCTTGGGGATGCCCAGGTGCTTGCCCAGCACCAGCATGTTCACCTGCAGTCCGAGAGGGAGGCGGCACTTCATCAGCGGGCTCCCCCCGCACCTTTGCTACCTGGGCCTTTCAGGCAGCCTTGCAGAGAGCTACTGGCCTTTCCCGTGCAGTGGCAGGGGACTAGGCTGGTAAGGACTCCTTAGCCAGATGCCTTTGGGGGCGTCCACAGAGCTCACTATGGCAACTTCCTGTGGTAACCGCCCTCCTTATTGGTGGACTGTGGCAGCTGCCATGTTGGTGCTCCAGAATCCCAGCATCCTAGGCCATAGCTGATTGGCCCAGGCCTGACAGCTGACCCGAGATGGACCAATCAGATTCCCTCTCCCAGGAACTTGAAATTGACAATGGGAGAGCCTAGTCAGTCTCTCTGCCCATCAGTATTTATAACGTGGCCATTTGCACATTTGTCCCCAGGGGCAGAGCAGCAAAGGAAGCCAAGCTGGAAGGAGAGGGAGAGGAAGGAGGAGGGGCAGAGGGAGGAGAGAATGAATGATGTGGACACAGAGACAAGAGACGGTTCCAGGCCCTCCCAAGGACCTGCTGCAGCTGTCCCTGCCCTCAGGTTTCTGGTGTCCTCAGATTAAATCTCCCTCTGGCTGAAGCCAGCTTGGGTGGGCCTCTGTCTCTTGCAAACACAAGAACCTAACCCATTGCACAAGTCCTGGGGCACAAACATAAATGCAAGACGGCCTCAAACACGCAGGAAGGAAGGGGAGTGACAAGAGGCTTTGCAAGTCGATGGCAAAAAGTTAGCCAGAAAGGGGAAGGAAAAGGGAAAGTGGGGGTGAAGCAATGGTGGTGTGGACAGGCTCCCCACAAGGCTCTGACCATGGGCGAGTTGAGTTGTTCTAGGGGATGGAGGGGGGAGGGGGACCAAGTGACCCACAGCAGCGCTACCCAAACCGTCTTCCTCGGAAGGGCAGAATCAACACCACCTGGGCACTTATCAGCCAGGCAGCAGTGCCGCAGGCCCAACTTAGACCTGAATCAGGACCTCTGGGGCAGGGTCCCCGCTGTCCAGGTGCTTCAAATGCAAGCTCAAGATTTAGGGGCACCAGAACCAAAGTCCTCATGGCTCAGTCAAAGGCCACTTCTTCCATGAAGCCTTCTTGGATCTCCAGTCCTACTTCTTAGGCTGGAAGTATTAATACTTTGTCCTACCTCCAAACTGCCACATCACCTTATCATGTAATAGATCGCTGGGAATGTCCTCAGAGAGCTGAAGAGTCTCCCTCTCAACGGATTAGACTGAAAGTTCCTTGAGAGCAGGACCACCCTTATTCATCTCTGCCCCTCCCAGAGGACACCCTAAATACATGTGGGATGGATGAACAGCCCCAAGCTTGGAGGAAGGTAGCAGAATGGACTCCGGAGTTCCCAGCCGATGCCACGTGCTTTGTTCACGTGACTTCCTACAATCATTCGTTCACTCCACGAATGTCAAGGGGGTCCCTTCCCCGATGGCCCTCGAGCAGGCCTTGGCCAGGAAGCTTTCTGCAGGGCGGACCATGGCAGTCAGCCAGCTGGAGGCCCTTCTGCTGGGCACCGTGGGACCCCAGACCCTCCCCACCACCCCGACCAGCTACCACAACCCTAAATGCGACTGCGACCAAATGCCTTGCTTCTGTGGGGACTGGGGGCTCGGAGCCTGATTTGATGAAACCCTAAGTCACGGGGGGTGGCCTCACCAAGTCAGGGAAGAAGGCCACTGCCTTTTTCCTCTCCGACTTGAACAGCTGCGGGATGTCGATGATGTCGTGCTCCGCCAGCCCCAGCTCCCGCTTCAGCACCTCGCGGTTCCAGTCGATGCAGCTCTGGGGGGAGGGGGGATGGTTGGGGAGGCCTTGCCAGTGTGTGCTGGGGACACCCAAGGGGTCATGTCTGGGTGAGGAGAGGCGGATGGCCTAGTGTCTTTGCTCTCCTTCCTCACAGCATGCCTGTCCTGTGTCCTGCCCTCGCAATCCTCATTTAGCTGGGCTAAAATGAGAGCGTTGCGAGTGTTCCATCATTGACCCTCTTCTCTAGAGCCCTCGATCCTTAAGGAATCTCCTTCCATCTCATGGTTTAAAACACCTGGCCTATGGGCCAGGCGCAGTGGCTCATGCCTGTAATCCCAGCATGTTGGGAGGCTGAGACAGGAGGATCGCTTGAGGCCAGAAGTTTGAGATCAGCCTGGGCAACATAGCGAGACCCCATCTCTACAAAAGATAAATCAGCCGGGCATGGTGGGGCACGCCTGTAGTCCCAGCTACTTGGGAGGCTGAGGCGGGAGGATCCCTCGAGGCTGGGAGTTTTAAGCTGCAGTGAGCTATGATTGCACCACTGCACTCCAGCCTGAGTGACAGAGTGAGACCCTGCCTCAAAACAAACAAACAAAAATAGAAAATAAAACACCATCTACATACTGACAGCTCCCAACCTCTTTATAAAGTCTGTGTCTTTCCTGAGCTTAGACTTGTAAGTGTAGCTGCCACCTTTGCATCTTTCTTTGGATGTCTAATAGGCACATCGAATGTGATGTGTCCAAACGTAAATGTTTAATTTCTACCCCCCCCCAGGAGTCGGGGCTCTGTGCCCTGTGGCTTCTAGCTGGGCTCAGCCAACAGGGGCACAGCAGGAGACTGTGGGTGGCGGAGCAGGAGGGTGCAGCTGGGGTGTTTGCTTCCCATCTGTCTTCCTGCCAGGTCACCGGTTGGCTGTGAAGGTCACAGCTCCTGTCTCACAGCCTCTTGTCATGGTGGCCTCTCCAGGCTCTGGTAACAGCTCCCTTCCCTAGCAGCTCCCCACCTTTCCTGCCCTGGGGACAGTACACAGTCCCTCACTGATGCGCTCAAACCCTGCCTGCACCTTTGTAAACATTCCCTTTATTAAACTCTTCTACAGTTACCCAGCTTGAGTTGCCATGTGCTTCCTGTGGGATCTACTGTCACTTTCACAGCAGGGAGATCTTTTAAAGCGTAGGCCAGATCGGGTCCTGCCCGCATCCCCTAATGATTTCGAATCCCACTCAGAGGCACAGCCGAGGTCCTAGCCATGCCCTGCAGGCCTCGCATGACGTAACCTGGCCTCCCCTAACTCCACGCTGGCCTCCTGGCTCAGCCCCAAACACTCCAGGCCTGTTCGTTCCAACTCCGGGCCATCGCCTGTGCTGTTCCCTCTTCCTGAACTGCTTGTCCTCACATGCACCTGGCTGGTCCCTCACTTCTCTCGAGTCAAAGGAGGGGGCTGGAGCCCCTCTGTCTGGGCCTGTTCCAACCTGAGCTTTCACGAACCGTGAGCCTCAGACCCCTGTCTCCCAGCCCTGTCCCGAGCCTGCCCACCGCCACTCACAGCCCTCGTACCTGCACAAACTTATTATAGCGGATGAGGCTTTCGTTGGAGAGCACCTGGTTGATGGACACAGTCTGGACCCGCTCATCACCTGCGAAGGACAGAGACAGACAGCAAGGGAAGGGTGGGAACAGTGCCCACAGGAGGGGCTCCTGCTCTGGGAAGCAGACAGGCAGAGGCCAAGTTCACAGCGGCTGGTCTTGCCGAGTCAGCAGCTCTCTGACTTTCCTGGGCCCACGTGTCAGAGCTCAGCTGGCCCCTGTGCAAATCTGGGGGTGTGAGGAGTGGGAGGCTCTGGTTGCCACAGTGCAGTGAACTTCAGACCTTGGAGTTCATTGGAAGTGGTGATGCCTTTAATTGGAAACTCACAACCACCCCGGGGCACTGGGCGATGACTCTTCCTCCTTTGGCAAGTTGGGGGCTGGGCCAGGGCCAGCCTTTACAGGTTCGATGGGCAGCAAACCACCAGCTGTGGGATTTGAATCACCAGGCCCTGCCCCTGCCCTCCAGGAGGTGACTGTATGGCAACAAGGGGGCCCCCAGTGGCTCGGCTTTCCCACCTGCCTCACGAGGGACCCGCGGACACAGGGCTGGACAGGGAAGGGGAGCTTAGAGCCACCGACTCACAAACCTCACGGCTGCCATTTAGCAAGCACTGACCGTGAGTAAGCCCCAAGTACTGCACCCAGCAACTCAACCCACACCACGACCACAAGGTATCATCACTATCCCCACTGCGCAGCTGAGGAAACTGAGGCTTGGAGAGGTCAGATGACTTGCTCAAGGTCACATGGCTAGGATGTGGGGGGCTTGGGATTCGAACCCAAGCCCAGTGCTCACAAAGGGCCTCAAGCCTTGACCAAGCGAGAGGGGAGGCTCCCTGGACCCACCTGCACAGCTGTAGGTTCAAATCCCCTCCACCCCGGTGGGAGGCAGACAGTGGGGGCCAGCCCCAGCTCCACTGCATTCTCGCTGAGGCCTCGGGGCCAGCGACTTCCGCTCTGAGCTTCACATTCCGGGCTCTGAAGCAGGGTAATAATCACCCCACAGCTCTCGTGAGGAGCAAACGGGATAACGTGCATGATGCGCACGGCACAGGCCTGGCACATCTAGGTGCCTAGTGAGTGCACTGGCCTCCGTGTCTGTACAAGGCCACGGTCACTGCCTGAGTGTCAACTCTGGAGGGTGTGGCAGCTGCTTGTGTCCTGGCATCCGTGCATTCCCATGCCCCCAACCAGGCAGGTTGGCCTTGCTTGCGGTAAACGTGCTTCTCCCCTCAGGAACGACAAACGTGGCCTTCCCCTCCCGCCACCCCACCCCGGTACTTAATTTGGATTTGAGGGTTTTTAAGGCTCAGTCTGGGTTCAAAGGAGTCTAGTCATGGTCCCTTTAGCAGCAACAGGGCTGGGGGAGATGGTATCTCTTCCACCTTACTGCTGGGGCTCCAGTGTTGTGTCAGAAAGAATCCCCAGCAAACAGAGCAACGGGACTCGGGAGCTTCTGAGTTCTGCAAAAGCTTTTCTCTCTGGGGTAGGTCTCGTCCAGGGCACTATCTGCCTCCCGAGAGGCCGCAGGACCAAGAAAATCTACCATCCTGCAGGCCAGAGTGTCTGTGCCCTGAGACCCCTGGGGTCGGC